AGCGGGGGCGAGCGCGGCTGTCCTGCCCTCGCCCCCGCAGGCTACGCGGGACCGGTCCTGGCTCCCTGCCCGGGGAACCGAGGAAGGTACTGACGGGGCAGCTCCGGCAGCTCCATGGGTCCCACCCTGCCCGGTGCCGTGCTACGGTTGGCGAATGCGACGTGATTTAAGTTTTGTTGTTTGGGTTTTGCTTTGTTTTGGTTTATTTCCATACAGGCTTTGCTCGAGGAAGCGGTTTCAGGGACAGAACCTCGACCACTTGCGGGAGTGAGGCTTGAAGGCTTGGCCTTTAAGTGCTCCATTGTAACGCCACTTTTGTGTTCGACGGGGCGTTGTGTCTCGGTTTCGGAGGGTGGCTTGGCCCTTAGAATGCCGCGGAACGTGCAGTACTCACACCTGGAAATTACCTGTGGAGGAGAAGGGACAGGTGGCTACAGCGTCGTTTCTCCATCAGCCAGGGCTGCACAGCCTCGGCTGCTGTTCTGCAGGCTGGGGAGCAACTTCGGAGAGTGCCTTCTGCAGGGCTGTCACTGGCAAGCTGGAGCGTGAACACCTGATTCCACACACACACACCGCCCGAAAAATAACTGGGAAAAACTGCACTCTGCACGTAGTGGTGCTGTGTCCTAAAAAGACCCTACAACAATTTTTCTGCCTAGCCCCACTGCAGACAATGCTGTGCAGTGACGCACATATGAGGGATAGGCTCAGGCTGGGGTTTTTTTTTCCCTCTGTCTGTATCTGTCATGCTTAGATTTGCCTTCAAGCAGTTTGTATTCCTAATGAGCTGCCGTTTAAACCTACATGCAAAATAGATGTGGTTTAGTAATGACATTTTTGATGCCTGTATTCCAAATCTATAGTCTCAAAACTTACACTCAGCAATTAATACCCTAACAATGGTAGCTAAATTATGTATACCTAGATTTTTGGTTGTAAATTGGCTTTATTGGCTAAAGATCTCTGGCTAAGGCCTGCAGCTGCTCAGTACCCTGAAGCCTTGATGAGACATTCCCCCCCTGTTTTACCATTGAGATTTTGCCTTGCTTAAATGGCCTCTGAAGATTGGTCCAGTAGTCAGGAGCTCAGGACTGTTTCAGAGTCATGGTGGTGATGATAAAGGTGGTAAGGACATCCATCGTCTTCCACTGTGTAGAGCTGAAAGAGGTACAAGGTGGAAATTCCACCTCTTTCTCAAATAGAGTTTGTAAACAAAATCTGCTTCCCCCGTGGTGAGTGCTATTACCACTAGAATCTGGAGTAGTTTGTGACAATAGATTCTGAATCCTTTTGAAAGAAGTTTTTGCCTAAAATGGCAAGTGCAAAATGGGCCAAAACATGTCCATCCTTCTCATCTTCTGTTTTTATACCACTGAAAATATCTCCATGTTATGTATCACAATACTCAGCCTTCACCCTACTTGCATATTTAGTTTCCATTGGAATTTTCATATTTACCAGAGTCATAATAAGAGTTCCAGTGGGATTTAGACCTCTAAATATTGTTTAAAAATTTGGTGATAAAACACCTGCCTAATTATGAAAACTCTGCTTCTCAGTTGTCTAAATCTTCCGACACTAAAAATACTTTTAAAAAATCAGTTATGAGCATCCTTCTCTAGACAGAGGAGCACTTCCAACTCCTCTGAAATAGAAGACATTTACCATATGCCAGGACCAAGTCTTGACATTCAGAAGCATGGCTGCCAAACCTACAA